GCAAAATACCTGAGACCGATCACTAGGTCTCTTTTAAAAGACGCCCAGAAGAAAGATAGAACGCAATGCACGAAGATCCTATTTTTCAGCCGTTCTTTTCGCTGTTGAACGATGTGCTCCCCTCGATCAGACAGACGGAGCAAAGACTAGCTGGTTACTAGCGGAATCCGATCCAACATGTTGAGTGTCAACAAGGTAGAGGTGATGTTTTGGGTAGGGAATATTGATGATGAAGTGGTGATCCCATGACGAGTTCTAAATGGTGGTAAGATGTCAGTTAGGATATACATTGGTGTTTTGAAGGTACACGTGGTGCTACCATTAAAGATAATGTCAAACGCTTTTAGGAAGAGGATGTTATTTTTATGCACGAAAAATGTTCGATCAAAAATATTCGATGTTAGTGAAGTGTAAGCGTTCTCGAAGCAAATTTGTTACTTTACAACACAAAGAAAAAATCACTTGAACGCGTTAGGAAAATAACTCACTCTCCAACAAACGCCGTAGCCAAAAATGCCCGAATTTTCCTTCCCCGAATCGAAAACACCAACTGCTTTTATCGGCAGAACGTATTTTTTTTCATTCGTCGACAGCTGGAATAGGATGCCCCGTAATTTGCATATCAATATACTCTTATAGCGACTCCTGCGACGGACTTGTTTCTTTTTCCGTCACAGAATACACGCGACGCGCGGCCGCTTGGGTTGACGAGGTAAGTCGCCGTTTTCTTCGCTATAAGATTTTTGCTGACTACTTTTTGGTAATCCTTCTTCGGCAGATCGCACACAAAACACGAACTTTTTTCCGGGGTACCTGATTATCTCGTTCACTACAGTTAGGCAAAGAAAACTAATAAAATTGAAATTTGAATAAAATTGAAAGCGGATGGTTTACATTAGTTGAAACAATCAATCAGAAATTATGAACTTTGGAGTGACATTCTGGATGCTGTGCAGTCTGTTTCATACGAAGAAGTATATCTCATCTCGCACAATGGATAAGCAGAAATTTATTTTCAGAACAAGGAGCATTGCATTTCATTGTGTTTTACTTACATCAGTGATCATGTTTTCAAGGTTTCGTTCAAACATTTATCTTTGTAAACTTTGCTCACCTTTTCCTCAATAAGAGATTTGTTTAGCGGCGTATCAACTTCTCATGGATAAATGACCCATAAAGTGTTGATATGCTGTTATATTTAATTTTCTTGGGAGCTTTGAAATAATAAAAAAAACGATATACGTTGTTCTGCTTTCACAATTGGATACATGGTAGATGATACTCAGCTTTTGTACTTATACATGTTTGTGTGGTCATAATTACTAGAGGCGGTAATATGCGTGTATTGTGTTGTAGTTTTGTTGAAGTCATATTTAAGGATACAGTTTGATTTCTTTCAAAATTGTAAGACATTTTATGGATGAGAAATGAAAGAGTTCTTTCATGTTGTTATCTGATTGGTTGATTTTGTTTGGCGGCATTTCAATCTATATGGGTTTTTAATGCCGAAAAAATATTTAAAAAAATATTTTATACGTAAATTTATGCTTTTAACTACAGATATTTTGTAAATCATTTTATACATTCAGAGCAAAGATATGTTTGCAGATATATATTTTGTCGACCATAAAATGCATTGTTGGTAATTTTATTATAAAAATGTATTTTTATATTTTTTTTAGTGTTGCATTGATTGCCATTTTGCTATAAAATGTATTGTTGCTGCCAAAATAGACAAAGCAATCACCAACGTCGTTTGTACCAAAAAGAAAATTTAGCCCAGGGGAGAAAGTTTTTTTAAATGTTCAAAACCAACACATCCTATTGGGAGCCAGGTACAATAGAGAAACGTATCGGGAACGTGATTTGCATAATTCAGGGTCCGAAATTCTCGCATAAAAGGCACTTAAATCAGATCAGAAAGAGGCTGTTAGAGGATTCTAATGGTCTACCTCAGGAAGAGGAGGAAGTAATGGACACAATATTTGACACATTCAATATGCAAAGGCCTCAAGCAATTTCAGAACCGTGGAAATCAAGCAGAAAAAGAAAATTTACAGAGCCTTTGATGATTAATCCGAAGAGGAAAAAATATTAAAGACCGAGGTAAAAACTTGGGAGGGGGGGTGTCATGGGTCCTTACCTATGACTAGAGAATGAATTCTTCCTAACACTATGTATACTAGGCCTCTCAAGAGAGAGGGTCGTAATCGAGTCGAGCCGATAGTAGTTTACTCCAAACTAGACTGACAGTCATACTAACACCTTCCACATCTTGTATTATTATTTCGTGTTATATACCTTCGTTATTTCTACTCTTGTGTTTGTGTTGTTCTTCCTTGGTCCTAACCTGGACCATAACAGTTGCTAATTTTATTATAAAAATGTACTGTGGATTTTTGTTTGGGGTTTCACTATATGCCCATAGCTGGAAACTTAACCCGAGTGGACCGAGAGACAACAGCAACTAAGAGGTGGTTCCACGCTCCTCAAATCTCCAATGTTCCGGCCTTCATCAGATGCATGTCGATTTGGGTTTCGAAGTGAAATTAAGTAGTAGATTCTTCTCAATTCGTTGCTTTCTAGAGATATCTCATCTATTAGGTTGGTGCAAAAATAATGACGTAATAATGTCGTTTTTTGACGTTAGAAAATACGTCAAAAAACGACATTATTACGTCATTATTTTTGCACCAACCTAATAGCTCTTATTTAGTACTGCTCAGTTATTGCACGTCCCATTTCCACTGAGTCTTATATCATAGCGTTTCAACCGTCGATTCGGGTGACCTTTATATAATCTATGGGCGTAGATTGATCTCGTTCCGCTGACCCTGTCATGGGATATCTCGTCTAGTTCTTATTTCGTACTGCTTAGTTATTGTTTGTCCCGTTTTCCCCGAGTCCAAGTACATACAGCCCGGTACAGGGATTGAACTCATAATTAAATAAAGGCTTCAGTTCGAAATTCCCGGAAGGTTACTCGGATCGAAAAGCATCTGATGAGGGTCAAAGTGCAGAATGGCCGAAAAGTTATGATGATAATAAATATGGAGACATTAGCCAGAGTGTAATGTCACCGCTTGAATTCTGAAATTTTAATTAATAATCATTTATTCATTTTTACTTATTTATTCTTTAGTAGGATTAGATAGGTTCGTCTATCGTCCGGTTCACACTCCTCCCCGGTCTTTTGAACAGGAGTAGAGGTTTATCCCATGCTCCCTGTTTGATATGGTCCGCTGTTTAGGATTGGGTTTCCGGTTTCTTCTAAAATCTTGTCATTTTCTTTCACCTCCTTGCATCTTAGTGGCATTATCGCCTTGGTTGGTGAACTGATTTAAAAAATAAAATTAATACATCGGTTTATACTCGAACATTATCAAATTCTACTTTAAAATACTAATGAACCTATATGATTGAACTTCTTTGTCTATGTGACATATCCATTCAGGACGTGGACGTGCATAGCGCTCCACAACTTTCTATTATTGCCTACCATTCGTCCATGCCTCGAATATTGGTGCCATGTATGATCCGGTGCACCTGCTATATATTTAGAGATTCTTGATAATATCAAGAGATGAATCAGCAATATTATTGATCCTGATCTGACATCTCGGTTTCAGTCTCTTTGCCAACGCCATAAAGTAGCTTCCTTGTACATTTTCTATAAATATTTTCATGGCAACCGTTCGGATGAGTTATTTGCGATGGTACCTAGAAATTATGAATTTAAGCGCAGTACAAGATTTGCAACATGGTCTCATCAATTTACATCTGAATTGGCTGGATGTAACCGTAAGTTTTATGCTAATAATTATTTTTCCCGCACTTAACGCTTGTGGAACTCTGTTCCGACTTATTGCTTTCCAGTAAAAAATGGATCTTCAAAAATTAAAATGCAATGACAATTGTCTTCTTGATTTCTCTTCTATTGTTCTCACTCCTCAATAATGCTTCTGTTTTCTCACACACCCAGTAACCCATTAGTGGATTTAATGTCTTGCTCGGGGGTGGGATTCAGATTAAAACAAAGTAAAACTCTTAGTAAGGTTTTTTTTTTTTTGAGCATCTCTCCCAGTCCCTGTTTGGTCATCATTTACACAAATTGTTAGGCAGGTTGCTCGCTACTTTCTTCTGTCCTTCTTGCCTTCAATATATCCAGTATGTGTCAAATCCTCTGAGACCTCTTAAAATGATGTAAATAATGATATATCATATCATCACAGAAATTTAGACATAAATTTTCATTAGTTTTCTAAAAAATAGGCAAAAATCAAGAATGGTTAATAAAGCAAAACTCGGTTTTTATATCCGATCAGCGTCGTACGTATATCTCGAAGCGACTATAAAAAAAGAAGCCTTTTAAAAAGACTAAGAACCTTGCCAAGGCAAAAATAAGAGAAAAAAACGACATGAAAAAAAAGGACTAAAAAGAACATATATGAAGTGGCACACTTAATTATGGCATTTTTTACGGTAACACACGAATACAAATGGGGCTAAAATGCTTAGGAAAGGAAAAGTATAGCGTATAATAAGCCTAGGACATTAAAAAATGAACGTTGAAATAGGAAAAAAGACAACAGACGAACGAATTAAAAAAGAAAAGAAAATCGAGTGTGTTCGTAATAGGAAAGAAAAAAGAAAAAAATGGGAAGGTGAGAAAGATAAACAGAGTGAAAAAAGAAGATTTGAAAAAGAGAAATAAAAAAGAAAGAAACAAAAAAGAGGATAAGAAAAAAAGGGAGCAAGAAGGGAACGAAGGAATGGAGAGTGGACGAGAAAGGAAAGAAAGAAGGGAACGGGAGAAAGTAAAGAAGGAAGGGAAAGAGAGAAAAAGAGAGAAAGGAATGAAAGAATGGGGAGAGAGAAAGGAAAGAAGGAAGAGAGAGATATAAAGGAATGAAGGAAGAAAGATGTGGCAAGGAAGGAAGGAGAGAAGAGAGGTGGTGAGGTAGGAAGGTAGAGAGAGAGAGTAAAGAAGGAAGAGAAATTCAGAGAGAAAAAGTAACGAGGGAAGAGAGAGGGAGAAAGTAGAGAAGGAAGAGAGAGAGAAACAGAAAGGAAAGAAGGGAGTTAGAGACAGTTAAGAAGCATGAGAGAGGGAGAAAAAAATGGAACGCAGGAAGGGAGCGGAAGAGTGGAGGAGAAAGGAAGGAAAGCAGGGAACGGGAGAAAGGAACGAAGGAATGTAAGAGAGAGAGAGAGAGAGAGGAAAGAAGGAAGAGAGAGAGAGGGGGAGGAAGAAATGAACGAAGGAAGGGAGAGGGAGAGTGGAGGAGAAACGAAGGAAAGAAGGGAACAGGAGAAAGGAACGAAGGAAGGTAGAGAGAGAAAGGAAAGAAGGAAGTGGAGAGAGAGGGGGGAGGAAGAAAGGAACGAAGGAAGGAGAGGGAGGGAGGAAAGGAAGGAAAGAAGGAAGGGAGAAGGGAACGGGAGAAAGGAACGAAGGAAGAGAGAGAGAAAGGAAAGAAAGAAGAGGAGAGAGGGGGGAAGAAAGGAACGAAGGAAGGAGAGGGAGAGTGGACGAGAAAGGAAGAAAAAAGGGAACGGGAGAAAGGAACGAAGGAAGAGAGAGAGAAAGGAAAGAAGGAAGAGAAGGGGGAGGAAGAAAGGAAGGGAAGGGAGAGGAAGAGTGGATGAGAAAGGAAGGAAAGAAGGGAACGGGAGAAAGGAACGAAGGAAGGTAGAGAGAGAAAGGAAAGAAGGAAGAGAGAGAGAGGGGGAGGAAGAAAGGAACGAAGGAAGGGAGAGGGAGAGTGGACGAGAAAGGAAGAAAAGAAGGGAACGGGAGAAAGGAACGAAGGAAGGGACAGAGAGTAAGTAAAGAAAGACGATAGAGAGGGTCGGGGCGAGAAAGGAGCGAAGAAATGGAGAGAGAGAAAGTAAAGAAGAAAGAGAAGGGGGAGAGAGGAACGAAGTAAGGATGAGAGAGAAAGTAAAGTAGGAAGAGAGTGTGAGAGTGGTCGATAAAGGAGCAAAGATAGAGAGAGAGAAAGAGAGGTGCCGAGAAAGTAAAGAAGGAAGCTAGAAGGAGAGAGAGTGGGGGGCAAGAAAGTAAAGAAGTAAGTTAAAGAGAAGGAGCGAGAAAGAAACGAAGGTGGGGAGAGAGAGAGAAAATAAGGATGGAGACGGCGAAGTTAATTGTGTGAAATTAAAATATCTAGTTTCGCCAAAAAGTGAGGGTGAAAAATACACCAAACTTAAAAACAGATTATCGTCAAAATCTTTGTTATTATTAAGAGGAAAGACCAAAGGATTTTTTTGATTATTAAATTATATATTTTAATCCTTTTTTAGAACCTACAACATTTTGATTACAAATGCTTTTTTATAGCGTCTGTGGGTGACCATATAATTGTATAAAAAAAATTTTACCGTCTTTTTGCGGTGAAAAACACATTGATTTGAAAATTCTTGCAAAAAAATAATAATTATCAGATTTTAATTAAATTTTCAAGAATTAATCACAAATGAATTAAATTATTTTATTATTTTTCTTTTTTTAGAAAATCATAGAAAAATATTTTTTTACATCTTATTGCCCACTACCACTTATTTAATTTTATGAAAGTTCGAGAAATTCATTTTTGTACATCTTAATGTTTATATTTGGAGAATTTAAATCATTTTGTTTTTCTAAAAACAGGACGCTCAGTTATCGAAAATTTGCTCTGAATCGTAAAATAAAAAATGCAATACAACTAAGATATTATTTATTTTTTTTAATCAAATTTACCCTAAGCAAGGCGATAAAGCCACTAAGACACAAGTGATTACCGAATGTGAAAGAATTAGACATCAGAAACGTTATTTAGGAGCGGGAACAATAAAAGAGTAAATCAAGAATTGGTGCACACTGCAAGAAGAGCGGCCATGTTTGCACTATAAGAGCAGCAAGAAAAACCCGACACGACCAAGCTCAATATATGGCGTATCGTTCAAAACATGACTCTCCACAACTTCCTATCCTTTGTAGCTTTTAGTCTTTTCACCATTGTTCACCTTATATGTTCTACCATCCATTTAGTACATAATATTTAACACTAATTACATGCAATGACAACGAAAGTGATTATGACGTTTATTCATAACTAGCTTAATGATGTAATATAAACACACACACACACATGCGCTCGTGTTTGTGTGTGATGTACGCTCAAAATGTAACCAAATGTTTAATCTTAACTTAAAACCTAGCTTGCTTAGAGCAATGACGTCTTAGTCCGCTTCATCAAATGTCTCATCACATTCTGGACTGTACTGGCAAACTTCCGTGATGCGACGTCATACCAAAATCTCTTTATGAGTCGTTAAGAATCTACACGCTCTCTCACAGAGCATGCACTTTCTCTAACTAGAATCTCAATGCGGGCTGAGTAACCACATGAAAGATGTATTTACGCAAACGCTGTAACAACTCTGATTGTTTGCCAAGTTACATCATGTCCACACAACTGATTTGTATTTACTTGACTCCCCACTGAGTCAGGTTGTGACACAGGTAACCTGGGGGAACCGAGTGTCTTCACTCAGGAGGCTGGTCATAGCTTGTCCAAGCTGGTCGAAGCTAGTCATAGCTGTGATACAACGCAGGGACGTAGCAGAATGTGTATACCCTTCTCTTGAGGGGTTTACCAACGATGGTTTTCTAAGCGTAGCTTAGATGTGGCACAAGGCACAAAGCCCAAAGTATGAATCAACCAGTGAGGATCGAACTCATTGGTCGTAATTGATTTAACAAGGCAAGCTTGTTAACCATTACACCAACAACTGGTTCTATTGATACTGGATATGTGTCTAGTCAGCCTTCGAATATATATATATATATATATATATATATATATATATATATATATATATATATACTCGACTCTCCTGTCGAATTCGACGTATGAGGATCAAGCAGATCAGTTTCCAGGAAGCCGACAGCCCGACAACAGCACATAAGATTTGATTATGGTGGTGAAGTTTTCGTGCAGGACCATCCACACATTTTGAAGGGCCGAATACGGAGACCTGGTGCACTACGTGCCACAAGGTCCCAAAACGACCCTCCGCAAGTTTTGAATTCAGAGTTTCCTTCTCCTAGACCAGTTGCCATCCAAGGCTATAGAACCCAGTCTGCCCTGCTATTTACCCATAGCTGGAGGGAGAAGAGGATTCACACATTTCTCAAAGCTATTAGGACGTAAGTGAATGTAATGGATTCGACTCTAATTCCGATTCCTCAACCCAAGCCGCTATCCATTAGTGCACTGTGCCTCCTATATATATATATATATATATATATATATATATATATATATATATATATATATATATATATTTAGTAGGGATGATTCTCATCCCTATATATATATATATATGTTGTAGAGTAGTAGTTCCTTCTCATCCCTACTACTCTGTGAATGGAATGTTCCTACTTATAAATAATGCCAGGTAGCCACATTAGAGCAGGATTTGAGTAGTATTTGGTTTACTCAAGTATTTCCGTTCTATGTATGAGTATTTAATAAAGCTCTTCTTATTTGTGTCCTCGACATAGTCTTCTGTTCCTTCAATACTCTCCCTAAATACGGCCTTCCTAATTCTCGGCTATTGTGAATAAAGACAACATTACAAAAATATATTAAACTAAATTCAGTGTAGCACAAGGCTAAAAGCGGGGGTACATCTTACAGTGAAACTTGTTAATTATTGCACTGAAATAGTAGCCAAGGAATAATTTTCGACTACAGGAATGTCAAAGAAAGCAGAGTCAGAAAGAGAGAGAGAGAGAGAGAGAGAGAGAGAGAGAGCGAGAGAGAGAGAGAGAGTCTTTAAACTGAAAGATTTGCGTCGTTCACTTGTTCCAAAAAGGTGTATACAATTAATACATCCATCAGGATTTCAGTGTGTGCGTTTGTGTGCGTGTACGTTTGTGTGTGTGCGTATGTGTATGCGTGTTTGTGTGCGCGTGTTTTATACACAAGACAGATAAAAGAAATCGTGAATTAAAGCAAAAAAAAAAGTTTCAATTTGTAAAGAATAAGATATTAAGTTTGGAATTGATAGCTTCATTTTAATTAGTGTCTTCTTTTCGTTATTGGCCAGATGATAATCACACGGCGTCTATGATTGTTGATTAAGAATTTCCCTCTTTGACATTTTTTTTAGGTTCATCTGTAGTAGACGTGCTTTGCGACACGATAACAGCGATAAACTAACAACAATGAGGTGGAGTTAATTATAATTACGCACGTGTTTCTATTAAGAAGAATTGCACCAATAAAATTATTAACACAATACCCCAAAACATAATAAGTCCGTGTAAGAACGTTTGTTACAAAGCTAGTCGCGAAAGCACACTTGCAAATTTCAATGCTACTAGGAACAGTTCAACATGCAAATTACAAACTGATGATACCAAAATCAAACAAGTACAATAATTTAAATATCTGGGAAGTGTTTCAACAGAGAATGGAAAGTGCGACACGGAAATCCGAACATTCATCGGGATAGTGAAAGATGTTTACCAAAAGCTAAGCAAAGTATTAAGTAACAAAAAAAAAATGTTAGAAACAAAGTAAAGAATAATAAACTGTTATTTTATATCACTTCACCTATATGGCAGTGAAATCTGGACAATCTCCTCACAGATGAATAAGAAACCAGAGGCAAGAGAAATGTGGCTTTACAGAAGGATGCTGAGGATACCATGAACCGAACATATGAGCGACCACGATGTTTTAAATAGAAACTGAAGGATATTTATAATTAACACCTGCAAGAGTCATTTTTAAATTTCAAGGTTAGAAAATGAGAAAAGACGGTTTGGAAAATATGATACCCGTAGAACAGGTTGAAGGCAAGGGAGACAAAAGAAAAGATGCGTAACCTCCCTAAAAAGCTTAAGTAAATGGATGGCGGAATAAAGTTCATGAGAGATAACATAACGAGAAAATTTATTAAAAGCTACAAAGGGCAGGAAATTGTAGAGAGCCACTATTGTCTGCGTCCTGGAGGGATACGGCACATGGAGGAAGAATATTGATAATCAAATCAAGTCCAATTGCATATAAATGCAGATAAAGTGAGACTAAAAGAGACTAAATTGCAAATTACTCTCTCCCTCTCTCTCTCTATCTCTCTCTCTTTCTCTTGAGTGGTTTGTAACACCCTATTTATCATCTCTCAGTTGCGTCTCTGTCCTGGGGAAGAGTGCACTCAGAGGCGACTCTGTCAAAGAACAGAATCGCAACTGAGAAAAATTATACTAAAAGGTGCCGGCCCTGGAGAACAGCTGTCCGAGGCCATCTCTCTCATTGCACTAGAAAGAGGGATCGGTGCAAACACGGAGGCCAGCGTTTTGCAGGGGCTCGGGAATTTTTGTTCCTAGCCCAGGTGTACGCGCTTGGGCTCCCCACATTAAACCGACCTTGTGGCACAATCTGACCTCATTGGGGGTTGAGTAAATACAAAAGAGGTGATTGTAATTTAACGCGGTAAATCTGAATAATTCTGATTGCATTTAATCATCTGCATATGTAGGAGGCTTCGGCATTAAATTAAACGTAAGGGTGTTGGTGTGACATTAAATACACCAAAGTATGAAGGTAAACATCTCTTTCCTCCAGATGGAAGCTTGGCGCAACATAATCTTGACTATTTATCTATACTAAAAGTTAAGCAGGCATTGGATGAAAGGTTGTTGTTGATCTATCACTAAAGATGCAGGTAAAATAATCGGTTCCCTGTACGACTCCAGTAAGAAGCTGACTCCTGCTGCTTTCTTCTTGCTTTACAAAAGCCAGTACTGATGCCATATTTGGGCGGGAACTGTCTTACTTTCTAGTCGCGATAGAGTTCAAAAGCGTTTTCGAGTGCTTGTGGTAGACGAATCTTTTTTTTTTCACCCTCCAACTTCTTTATCACAGGCGTGATGTAGCGAGTCTCTCACTGCTTTATCGCTACTTCCATAGAAAGTGACCGGTTCCTTGGTTCTGCCATTTTTAACCTTCACGGCTAATACCCATCATGCAACTCACATTCTAGCAAACCATCCACCTTCTCTTCGTATTCCATCGGTGAGAAGTATGTTCCACTCGAACAGCTTCTACTCGCGAACCACTGTTCTGTATCACTATAAGTTTAACCTTTTCAAATCTAGGATTATCCGTTATCTTCCTCTTCTGTCCGCATAAACTGCTTCGGTTTGCGATAATAATAATAATAAAAAAAAACTATTTGGCTGTTATTAGGCTGGTGCAAAAATAATGACGTACCAATGTCGTTTTTTGACGTTAAAAAATACGTCAAAGAACGACATTATTACGTCATTATTTTTGCACCAACCTAATACATTTCTAGTTATTCTAAATTTGCTTGACTAAAAACAGGAGGAGGTCTGATCTTTAAGATTTCTATTTCCTATAATTATATAATTCGATTCACAGGGTTAGATATCTGTTCGTAGTGGCTCAAGCCTATAGCTACATTTATTTGAAGCAATATAAAACACATAAATGAAGTCTGCACGATCCGAAAATAGTACGAAAATAAAAGTTAGCTCCATTCTCTTTTCAGTTCTGCGCATGCTCCTTTGATTTCATTCTTCCTCTGCATCCAACGTCTTCCATTTTGGTTTTATGTCCCTCATTCCCGTCGTTAGCTGTTTTGTTTGCGATAAAAAAAAAATCCAAACTATATTTCTAGTTATTCTAAATTTGCTTGACTAAAAACAGGAGGTGGTCTGATCTTTAAGATTTCTACCTCCTATAATTATATAATTCGTTTCACAGGGTTAGATATCCATGAATATGTTTCTCTAAAGATGCAGGTAAAATGGTCGGCTCCCTGTACTGCTCTAGTAAGTACTCGATTCCTCATGCTATATTTTACCATTACAAGAGCCAGATCAGACCGGAAATGGTGTACTGTTGTCATATTTGGGCGGGACCTACCCAATCCTGATTTTCCAGTTCAAAAACATCTCCGAGTCCTTGTGGCTGACGAATTATTTTCCATTCTCCAGCCTCTCTCTTACAGGCAGGATGTGGCGAGTCTTCTCACTGCTCCATCGCTACTACCATAGAAAGTGCTCGGACAAACTACATTCCTTGGTTCCAGCAAGTCTAGCCTTTACAGCTACGACCTGCCATGCCACTTTCATTGTAGCAATTCCATCGGGGAGAAATAAGTTCCACTCGAAGAGCTTCTTCCAGCGAAGTACTTCCTTGTGAAACAGACTCGCAAGAAGATGTTTCCCCGATCACTAATCATAACCTGTTCAATAGAGTTAACCGTTATCTTCTCCTTCTAAACTACTCCGTAACGCGACATTCTTCTTCGTGTGGCCCCTGGGTCTTGTACAGAGAAAACCGTAATAGGCAACGATATTCAGAGAACTTAAAACGATTACTTGGTTACTTATTTTAGGGCATCATTTTGCTTGCAGTAGTTGTCACTTTACGCAAGCAATAGTCAGTGCATTTCTTTAAATAATTTAGCTGTAAATAATCAACAACAGCTTCTTACAGACATATGTCACATATTATTGCCAACTAAGACTTTTTTTTTACATTTACGTAAGTGGCAAAGTAATCACTTTAAGTAACGCGATTAATTGAAATAAGTAAATTGTTGCGGTTGAAATATCGATAGTCGGCGTGGGAAAGTTAGAGCTGAGGAAATTCTACAAGTCATTTTTGTTAATTTCATTGTAAGCTTCAGTGGATATTCGAAAGGCTGAAGGAAAATGACACTTAACATAAACTTACAACGGAGTTTCAAATAGACAGAGACTTTACAATTTAAAAAAGAGAGACCGCTATTTAAAAAAAAAAATAAGTCAATATTTATATATCATAGAATGTCATCAATGTAAATTAAGAAATAGGACTAAAGGGTTTGTTGATGTTGTGGATTCCGAGATGAAATTCGGTCTCTAATGAATGACAAATGCAGGAATGAAATATAAGAAATAAATGTATTTACACAATAATACAATGGGTAATACGGTTAGTAGATCCAGAAACGTGGTTAGTAGCAATAATAATATATATATACAGTCTGGTAAATTCAGTCTCGAAGTAGGACTTCCTTATAGTGACTTGTACAAGCGGTTACCTCACACTATTACTCTACCTCCAACTCAATCACAATCTCAATCTCTCTACTCTGACTGACTCTGGGTATTTCACGGCAGCAGTCCAAGTACACACTGGTCGAGTCCACTTGTATGAAAAAGGGGTGGACCCCATAACAGTTGATTAGAATAGGGAGGATTCTGAGTAAAATTTTCACTAAAAACAAAAATAAAAAACAAGCTTCATCTGGGCATGTATATTTGAAACTCAAGAGTAGTGGACAATTCTTCAGCATAGAAGGGACAATTTGGAATATTCAGAGAATAAAAGGAAACCTGACTAATAGAGATTTTGATAATTTAATTAAAACGTTGATAAGCTCGGGTAAAGAAAGATTTTAATACGAATGTCATTTAGTCACCTCGCCATATTCTACATAGTTTCATTACCTGTCTAGAAATATATTGATGCTTTTCTTTGGCAAAACCCCAGTTTTTATTTTGTACGTGAGACATTGTATGTGAAACTTTATACACGAGTCTTTATACAGGAAACATTTACACATAAGGCTTTATGCATTATACTTTGTAGATATAAGTTATATCCGGGCCTTTAATAATGAATGTTTGTTCACGAACCTTCTTGTATGAAAATTTACTCTAAATTAACCATTATATAAAGAAACTATATAAATAAGTTGTTACATTATATAAAGAATCTATATATTAAACATTATATAAAGAAACTATATAAATGAGCTTTATATTATATACAACAAAACTATATAAGGGAGCTTTTATACTTAGTATTTTCTACTTATACATAAACATTTTACTTTATACATAAAAAATTATAACGTGGCTTTATACATCAAAGTTTATTCACGGGTTTTAATACATCAAACATTGAGCGCGTGTATACATGATAATTTCTGTATGAGGCTTTATAAAGAAGCTTCAGACATGAGCCTTTATACACGAACATTCACACAAGCACCTATATGCATATTAAGGTATAAAAGGCTTTTTCTTTGGTTTTAAGAGTTCTAGGTATGAAAATAAACTACATCGGGAAGCAAGGCTTCTGATCGGGAAATTGAGGGTTTTGAGGAGCATGTAAACACTTCTTAATTGATATTGTTCCCAGGTCCACCCTGACCTGGGGTAGTAGCACCTGTTAGGGTCCCAGCTATGGGAAAAATCCTCAAACATAAAACAATATAAAAGTATAAAAATACATTTTGATAGTAAAAATAAAAGCGATAATTTTTTATATAACAATTAGCAACAATATATATATATCAAAATTGCCGATAATAATTTCAAAGTCAAATGATCAGCAATACATTTTATTTGTAGTTGAAGGCATATATTTGCGTTCAAATTAAAATTAGTTGAAGTCAAAAAATTGTGACTAAAATATTTAGATTTCGGCATTGAAAAACACATACAGGTGTTGATATCCCGCTAAACAAAATCGACTAACTTCGTTTTTAACTCTGATCAATTAGATTTTAACAGCGACTCATTAATGGTCACTGATGGCAAACACGCTAAACACAGACTATTTTGTTCAAACGATGTCAAAAGTATGACATGGTTTGCTCATATTTACAAGTTTACATAAATATAGTCTTTTTCGGATTTTTTGGCTCGTCTAAGTTTTTCCAAAATACTCCATCTTTTTATCATTTGGTATTTGTAAGAAAGAAACTACAGTTACCCTGTAACACAATACTAGCCACATGGTCGGATCATTGGCGACTAAACCGATTCACTCACCAGCCTTTACTGGTGAGAAGGGTGGTTAGACATTCAACAGGATTAAAAACAAGATCTGTCAAAGGGTAGACGATCAGCGACTAAACCGGTTCCCCCATCAGCCTTTTCTGGTGAGGAGGGTGGTTATACACCCAACAGGATTAAAAACATGATCTATTAAAGGGTAGATGATCAGTGACTAAAAAGGTTCCGACACCAGTCATAGAATAAAAAAATGACCTATCGAGGGTCAGATGAAACTTCTCGAATGGCTAGCGGTTATATAGCACAATGGCGTAAACTGGGTTTCATAGTTATGTATGCTATCAGGGCATTAATGTCACATCTTCGCTAGGTGGAGGGTTTTCTAGACTGAAAAAAAAAGCGGCCACAGTTTTCTCTCGCTATACTCACCAGTCACGTGTCTGTGATCAGGGCGAGCTCTCACGTTCATCCACCGTGGTTTAACCTGAAGAAAGAAGATGTGCCAGTCCTACATGCTCAGGATACGCTATATATGAATGAATAGCTGGCTTCCAACCCAGATATCTGGAATGAACTGTTCAGATACTACGATCACACGGGACTGATGATGATGATGATCATCATCATATATATCGCTTTATAGTTCTTGAATCCCGGGTGGCTTTATTATAACTATATTTATATTTCTTCTTGCAGCTGATAAATTCTTCGGACTTTCGAATTGGAATTAAAATATGTGAATTGAAAACAAAAAAAAAAAAAATCAGGTATTCTCATATTAAAAAAAACTGCTGTAATTTAATAAATCTTATTTTTTACAAAATGTATCTTTTTCAAGAAACACCATATCGTTGTATTCCATTGTTGTTTTCTTTGGAGTGTAAAGAATTTTATCCCAGTTCAATAGTTGAAGTTGATCACGCCAATATCTAAATCTATAAAAGGCAGGATGTGTGTGTGCATGTGTGTGTGTGTGTGTGTGTGTGTGTAACGAATGCACGGCCGCAATTTTCGACGGATTTGCACCAAAATTTACATGCACATACTCCAAGTTAGCGGCATTGCCAAGACCGACTTTGCATTTCCCAACTCCCATCGATAGTGGAAATAATCGATTTTTTCATGCTTCTACGGCAGTTTTCATGTAGTTTTCGGCCATTTTGTACTGGCTAGAGTGAGAGCCAATAGCTGGCTGCCACGAATAGGCAGGAAGATTCTATTGGCCAGCGTGAGAGCCAACAGTTGACTGACACGAATGTTAACTAGCATGCTAGCATGCAAAAAAATAAATCGATAGCTGCATTCGTCACAAGTGGGAAAAATTTAAATCTGCATGGCACTTTACTCCAATTGGCTCATTCACTTGCTTAAACTCAACGTTGATTCTGATTCCGCAGAACTGGGTTAGATGTGAAAAAGTATTTGTTGTTAACATCTTTTTTCATTCGGTTTTTCCAGTTACGAGTCCTTTTTTAAAGCTGATCGTTTTGTGTTCATTTTGTTTAGTTCTTTTTTCGTAACAGATTTAATGTTTAGTATAGAGCTTAGAAAAAATTCGCAGTGTGAGATAGGCAAGAAGTAAGGCATGTAGCAACATCAGCACGGCAAAGGCACTCCTTTAAAAGGTAAGGAAGGGCAAAAATATTTTTAAGTCAAGTGATAGCGATTGCTGTATGTGTCGTACGATTTTTGAATCAAGCACGGGCAACGCCGGGATATGCTGCTAGTTGGATATAAGTTCAGGCTAAATCTCGTGGATTCTCCGTAACTGACATTCCTGGGAACGATTTAAAAATATTACTGTCTCTCTATTGTATGTCATTGTTCTTGTAGATTTCTTTATATGTTGTTGTACTAGCCACCTTCGATGATTTTCTTACCATAATCGTTAATGGTTCTCTACAATTTCCTGCTCTTTTTAGCTCTTAGAAGTATTTACTTTTTTTTACTATCCTTTTCATCCTCTGATCTCACATCCATTTATACTAGATTTTTAAGTAGGTTACTCGATGTTTCCATCTGTCCGTCATACATTCAATATGTCCTGTGAGTGTCAAATTCTTCAAGCCTTCTGTCCTTTATTATGTATCATACAAGTTTCAACTGTCTCTGGAGAATCATAAGATTCTAAATATGAATATCCTTTTCATTTGTATCTTCCTTTAAACTCCCCTGTTGATCACATGCTTCATCCATTGTATTCTCAGCGTTCTTTCTGTAGAACCATATCGTTTTCGAAAATCTCCTCTTCATCTGTGTGGTAATTGTCCAGCATTCAATGCCATTTAGGAGAATTGATATTACAGCACTCTTGTATGTGTTTGTAACGAAAATTCCGCTTTTACGAAGGCATCATTCGCTATTCAAATGCACCTTTGGACTTCTGTGCCATATTTTTCGTTGGTTGTTAGTTCTCGAGTAGTTAGGTTTCTGTACTTGCTTTGTTCTGACATTTTCAATTCTTAACTCGTACGTGATAGCCATTCTCCTTGCTAATAACCACACATTCTGTCAATTGATGATTAGTCCTTTCTTCCCTCTATCCATTACTATATTTTTCAAAAGTTCCTGCAGTATTCTTTCTGTGTCATCTACTTATCATATGTTGGTTGGATCGTATCCACCAGCAAAAAATCCTGGTAAGATTTCTAGATCTCTAAGGATTATCTTGTTGTATAGATTAAACAAAATCCGTTGAGAGGGCGCATTTTTGTCTTAACATCCTTTCGATTTTTGACAACTTTCTCAAATTGTTTTCCATCAGTATACAGGCAGATTGGTCCTAGTATATATTCTGGGCTTATGGCCGAATCGCGTTGAAACGCTAGTTCTCGTATAATCATCAAAGTTAAGCAATGTTGAGCCTAGTCAGTACCTAGTTCGGTGACCGCTTGGGATTACCAGGTGTTGTAAGCTTGGATGTGCGGGTGGTGTAATGGATAAAAGCTCGGAATTTCAAATCGGGGTGCCCATTTCCAATTCCAATAGGGTTCGTTATATTCACTTAGGCGCAAATATCCTTGTGAAAGGTATGAATCTTTTTCATATCCCCTCAAAGATGACTTGAGTCACTAAACCATTATTATCTAAAATGAAATTCTTACAATCTAAAAATATTTTCTGGCTTTAAATAACCTGCGAAGGGTTGATAACTCGCGTAAAAACGAATCAGTGAATAAATCTAGTCCCTAAGGATTACCTTACTGTATAAGTTAAATAAATCCAATGGGGAGGTACATTCTTGCCTTACAATCTTTTCAGTTTTTGTGTACTTACTCAGCTTGTTTTCCATCCGTATGCAGGCAGATTGGTCCTTTTCTGAATTACAGTCATGTCTTCATTAAATAAAACAAGTTTTCCTAGCAGTTCAAATAGATCGTACTTTTATATATACGTGTATATAATTCAGCTATCGAAAACCATGTATTTTAATTAGATTTTAATAAGTAAATTATGGTATTATTCTGCTAATCTACCGTTCTGTAACCTTTCTGCGCGTAGCTGTGAGGCAATATTCTCTGTCGACTGTGTGTGTAAGCGAGATTTATTTTGTTGTAAGGTTTCTACACAAATGATTGTCAATGAAAATTAAATTAAAAAAAATGTTTTTCTTTCGCTTAAATAAAAAAAACAAACAACGTCTGTTGTTTCTTTTTTCTTTGTGAAACATCGGCGCATGCGTATTGAAATTCAATAATTAGTGATAAACTAGAAACGAGTTAGAAACTGAAACCTCAAGTCGGATGAGCATTACACAGAGGAATGAAGAGAAGTTGAAAGCAAAACAAAGAAAGCAAAAGAGGCAAACATTTGGAAACCTATGGATGTGAAAGATGAGAACTGAGGCTGACTCGTTTGGTTGACTTTATTTTTTTCAAACAATTTGTTGTTCTTCGAGAAAAAAATTGAACGACTCTGGTTGATAAAAGACAAGACTTTGATGAAGAAGACAAGAAGGTATCAATAATTGCAGATGCTTGTGTGAGAGGTATTAAAAAGAGAAATAAATAGTGACTTCGTGTGAGATTGATACCTATTTTAAAGCGTCTGAATGAATGTATATATATATATATATATATATATATATATATATATATATATATATGGAAGAGTGGGAGAGAATGACAGAGAGAGAGAGAGAGAGAGAGAGAGAAACTGAGTAGGATAGATACAGAGATAGGAGTGGCTGCTGAAAAGTTTGGGTTGATCAAGAAGCGCTGATAAAATATGTTGTTTGATTATTTAACCAGATATTGGAAATTGTGGGGGACCGTGAGCGGTTCAACACTCTTTCTGGACAGATACCTAGCTAGCTAGCTAGTTAGATAGATAGATTTGAAAAGATTGAGATAGATTTGTAAAGATTATGATAGATAGATTTGAACAGATTTAGATAGATAGATAGATAGATAGATAGATAGATAGATAGATAGATAGATAGATAAGAACATACTTTGATGGGCAAATATCAACAGATTTGCAATAGATAGGTCTATTGAGATTAACATAGTGAGATAGATAGATAGATAAACAAACAGATAAGAATGGACTTGATAGATAGATAGATAGATAGATAGATAGATAGATAGATAGATAGATAGATAGATAGATAGATACTTTGATGGATAAATATCAACAGATTTGCAATAGATAGGTCTATTGAGATTAACATAGTGAGATAGATAGATAAACAAACAGATAAGAATGGACTTGATAGACAGACAGACAGATAGATAGATAGATAGATAGATAGATAGATAGATAGATAGATAGATACGAAAAACTGAAATGGAAAAGTGATACATGTATAAAAACAGAAACAGACAGACAGACAGATAGATAGATAGATAGATAACAACATAATGAGATAAATATATAGGAATAGAATAAGACAGAAGAATGGAATAGATCGGAATAAAAATTAGATAGATAGATAGATAGATAGATAGATAGATAGATAGATAGATAGGCATATAATGAAATAATTTTAGTTTTATATTTGTTTAAATAAACATCTATTTAAGTATCTAACTGGTAATTTTAAAATGATTTTTTCTCTGATATTTACGAAATATATATGTATATATCAGAATGCATATACAGATATATACATATATACACTGGCGTGTAATAGATTTGGGATAACTAAATAAAATGATTATACAGCCTTATTTTCTTATGATGTTAGAACTGTTTAGCAGTATGCTTTTATCAGTTGTGTCTGTGGACCTTAAAATTTGGAAAGAAAATTGTTAAGATTTTCGTAGGTTTCGTGTCGAAGAAGATACACAGGTTTAAGTCGCTTGATGCTGAGAAAAGCTCATGCAAAACCGTTAGGGGGACAATGAAAAATCTGAAATGGTGAAGTCATCATAAAATACAAATGTTTAAGAGGGAATTGGTTGATATTATTAACATGAGTATAAGGTGACTTGCCAAGTTATTGAGAAGTTGAAGACTAGTATATATTTTTGAAACAAAGGTGGAGGTTTTGACTTTGATGGAGAAGATGACTCAAAGGGAGAAAGACAGACGGCTGGGAATTTCAAGAAAGTGTTCAAAGCGTCCGAGAGACATTTGTTACTAGTGGAATTGTTTTAAGAGCAAAAAAACAAAAAAAAACAAAAACAAACAAACAAAAAAATACCGAAAGACCAGATAAGTTAAAATAAAAAGAAAAAGAGAAGAAAGATAGATTGCGAGAATCTCGCGAGGCAACCCGAAAGCAAGAGCCAGAAAAGTTAGAAGTGAATGCAGTTTTAATAATTATTGGTTTATATGGAAGTTTCTAAATAATAAAAATCTATTAAACAATAGACAGGAGTTAACAGTTTTTTTGCCGTCATCATCAAATTTTCGCATTGAATAATTAGCATAAAAACAAACAAATTATAAAATAATTTTTAAATTCCATAGTCTAAATAAATAGTTTAAATGTCCTACAAAAAATAAATAAAAAATAAAAAAATAAAGATAACCCTTTATGAGGTCGTCAAAAAAACAAATGTTAGCGACTTATGACAGTTTTTTTTATATATACACAAAACCCTTTCAGAAAAAAAAAAATCTCCATAGACACTTAACCAGACAATACGATGTCATCTTCCGCTTTAAATTTAGACACCCCCAACCTTACCCTAACTTGACGTCTGTGAATGTAACTGAGATATTGATACTAATTATTAACACCTTACGCCCCTTTTCTTTAAACAATTGCTCTAGCCGTTACCATAGTAATTTTAATTTCAATAATGAATATGCTTATAAAACGCGTAAATTTCAGCAATAAGTTATTCCAAAAAAATGTCGCTTGAAGATGGAACAGAGCTTAGTACTTTAATTCAATTTAATTCAAGTAATTATATTGAAGTTTTCAGCTCCCTGTTTTGAAACATGAGAACTCTTATGTAGCGTTGGAATCATATTTTTTAAATAAATTATATATATATATATATATATATATATATATATATATATATATATTTTGTGTGTGTCTGTTTGTTTGTGTGTTGAATGAAGAAACCATTTAAATATCATGTTTGAAATTTTTCCTCATCTATGAGTGTAAAAGGATGTGTTTCTCTATATGTCACTGTGTAAAAATTAGTCTAAACGTGTGTGCATCAAAGAGATTTCTTGTGTAAACTTTTTCCATGGTTATATACACTAGAACGTGTGTTTGAGAAATTGAAGAAAAGTTGAAATTTATAAAATAAAAAATGAAAAAAAAAACCCAGCAAAAATGAAAAAAAAAGGGAAAAACGAAAAATGAAAATAGAGATGAAAACATCGCAAAGAAATAAATAAAGAAATGAACAAGGGAAATGCAGATGAGGTTTCTATTTTTCCGGAGCATTGGTTACTGCCCACCCCCAATATTCGCTAAAGAAGAAAAATAAAAAGATAAAAAATAAACACGTCGTAACTCTAAACTCCTGATAAAAGAGGGGGTGTGTAATAAGAGATTTCTGCAAACTCAAAGAAAAACAGAAGAAAAAAAAACAAAACAAAACAAAACAAAACGCAGTTCGACATTTTCACATCAAATCAAAAGAAATGTAAAGAAATTTTGATTCTCTTCCCTGTTTCTGAAAAGACACCAGATCAGATTTCATGGTTAGCACTGTGAAACACTGAACAGAGATTAAATCTACAATTAACGATCTGTCTGTGATCAATGATCAGTTATTACACTAGTGAACAGAATCGATGTCCGTTGCAACATATCTGGCACAAGACCATTGTAATCGATGCTTATTTATTTGTTCATTCCTCAACGCCATACTAAAAACGATAGAAGAATTATGCACGACAAAAGTCATAACATTTAGAAATATTTTTCAGCCTAGCGAGAAGTTAAAGTAACCATTTGTAATATTTAGTTCAACAAATTTATCTCATTTCATTTCTTTTACAACAATTGGATTGTAATGGGTACACTATTAGTACCAGTCACATAACGCGATAGAAGAGAATTGGTTCGACTGTTATGCAATATAACTACTCTTATTTGCTAGTGATTGTTGAACAATCTTCTCACAGATGAAGAGAATACTGGAGACAACAGAAAGTTGGTTATACAGGAGGATAGTGAGCATACCATGGAACGAGTGAAAAAGCAATGAAGAAGTTTTAAGGAAAATGGTAACAGAACGGATACAGAATCAAAAAGAGACAAGTGAAATTATTTGGACATATAATGAGGAAGGAAGACTTGACACAGGGCATAACGAAAGCAAATTAAACAGCGCGCCATCGACCTGCTGAGCTTGTGTGAATGAGTGGCGATTCTGGGGTGGGCGGGAAGATTAGCAAAAGGAATAAGATTGCTATGGGCTAGAAGTGATAGGAGGTTGTGGAAAGCCATGATCACCCACGTCCTGAATGGACACGGCGCGTAGAATAAGAAACGTATAGAGTGTCGTCCTATGCATAAGTTTGGTTTACGAAAGCCAAATGAACGCATATATGTCACATGGGTCAATAAAAAGAAGTCATACCGAATGAGGGAAAAGTAGAGAGGTGTTATATACCGTACTTATGAACACTAATTGGTATGTCCCACTCCTCATAAATACGTGGGGTACTATTGTAAGGGGGGGGCATAATAAACTAAGTAGTCCACCACTAGCAGTGGTTTACCTACTTCATGCCGCTGGCGTGTATTGTAATTTGTTGATGTTATAAAGATTACCATTTCATTTCCAACCTCCGTTTTGCTTATTGCTCATTCAGTAACCATTCCTAGGGTACAACACTATCAATCAGTCTTTTCTCATTCTGTCCATCTATCTATCTATCTGTTATATACCGTACCTATGAACACTAATGAGTATGCACTAATCCTCATAAATGAGTTGGACACTATTGTAAGTGGGGGTAATGTGCTGTTTAAGTAGTCCACCACTAGCAGTGGTTTATCTGCTTCACGCCGCTGGCGAGTATTGTATTTTGTTGATGTTATAAAGATTACCATTTCATTTCCAACCTCCGTTTTGGTTATTCCTCATTCAGTAACCTTTCCTAGGTTACAACAAGAAGAGAACAGAGAAAGTGATATACAGAAACTTCAAAGAAAGAAAGAGAGAGAGAGAGAGAAATCAAAAGACAGGGAAGAACTTCGAAGAGAGAAGCGAGAGAACGTTAAACAGAGCAGTGGTTCTCATCCATTTTCCTTTTGCCCAATGCACCCTTTTCACCATATATGAGAATGTCACCCCCTAACTTTCCAAGATTGTCCGACTCAAAAGGTGCATTCCAAATAATATGCATATATTATTGAAAATCATCATTCATTTCCATATTACTACCGATTAATTTACATGGATTATTTTTGTAGAGGAGTTTTACAAATTTAATAGCAATAGCAAATGCTGATGGATTTTTAAACTTGAATACATGTAAAGCCATTTGTTTTAATTCATAACTAATTATTAAATAAATAAATTTTTAATTCATAACTAGTTATGAAATAAATAAAATGAATCTGTCTATATTTCTAAGATGAGGTATTATGCACACTATTTACATTATTCGGACTATTGTCCTCAACTTTGTTGCCATATTTATCACTACGTTTCGGCCGTTGTATGCTCCGGCCTTTTTCAGGTGGTTGGAATGTCGAACTGAACCCTTTATTTCGCTTGCTGGGGTAGACTGTTCAAGTGCCATGCTTAATGGCATGTGGAACTAAAGCAGTGAAGAGGTGAATTAAACAGGAGATAACTGATAACTAACATCCATTAAAACCATGGCACGTAGAACTATAACAGTCTACCCCAGCGAGCGAAATAAAGAGTTCAGTTTGACATTCCAACGACCTGAAGAAGGTCGGAGCGTCCAACGGCCGAAACGTAGAGATAAATATGTGTTATGGAGTGATTTCACAGTGGAGGCTTGTATTTGTACTAAGTCGGTCCTAAAATAGGTTCGACGTACAAAATGTTAGGAACTTGATATAATAGGTATAACGCAGAGTAATCTAGTTGTGGTCGCTGATACTTTAGTATCCGACTAACGGTCGTCCGGCATCGACTGACTGACCGACCCACTGAGCAACGGTATAAATAGTCACCCCCCCCCCCACATGGGCATCATGTGGCACAAGGTCGGTTTAACGTGGGATCTCCGAGCCCGTGGGCTCGGCCAAAAATATGCCCATTGAAACCGTATAAACGGGTTCAGGGTCGGTTTACCTCCCCGAAAGAGACCCCGCCCTTCGGCGTAGCCTCGTTTGGGTTCCTCCCCGACCGAAGGCAGAGAGTTCAACCGGTCAGACAGTCGTCCGACTTCAGACTGAACTCTGACCGACACATTGAAAGTTAGGTATTTAAATCGATTTTATTCTGATGATAATTACAGTCAATGAAAAACTTGAGAAAAAGTAAAAGATTCCCACTGAAACCAGAAATTCCACCTGGGGGCAATTCCCTCTTGGTTGAGAACCCCAGGAGAATTTCATATCTACCTACCT